TGAAATTCAAAATAAGACTTACGAATAGCTCTTTGGTGCAAACTCTATCTCATGAATTTTAAATTATGGAAAATAACCTCAAAAGCTAACTTATTTTATGCTAAATTTGATTCCACTGAAAATATATTTAAAGAAAAACAACAGGCTCAAAGTGACAAAAGATATTTGAATTTTTTGTCGATAAGAGTGTTATATTTTTAATTTTATTTTTATTAATTTATAATTTTATAGATTATTGACGTCTTTTGAATTTTATTTTATTTTATTTTATTTAAGTTTTTGAATTTTTTATAGGAGTTTTATTTTTTACTATTTAATTCTTAAATGTTTTTAATTATTTCTTAACATTTAAACTTTTTATTCAAAGAGTAAAGTCTTTAATTTTTTAAAATCAATTAAACTTTTGAACTGTTAGAAATCAATTAAGTTCATAGACCTCGTCATTATTCACATGTGAGCTATTATCTTAGTACAATGAACCAATCGTAAATGATTATGTTAGTACAATAATAGTCGATGACAGTTTTTATTGATCAAAGGACTGAATTAATACAATTCCCTAGTTTAATGGTCTAATTAGATGCAATTTTTGTTTGATACGAGTTTAATGATAAAATTACCATTAAATCTAATATAAAATAATAATAAAATTTAACGTATCAAAATTTATATAAATATTAAACAATTTAAATATGTTATAACACAATAAAATATACAAACAAAATCTCCAAATCCAAAGAAGTTAATGTGTGCATTACTATCTTCTTCTTTTGGGTAGGATGAGAAACATAGGTACATAATTATTATTTCATTCAATAGAGTAAATTAGGCATATGCCTTGGTGGAACACTTGCATCCCCCAAAAAAGTTAAAAACATGAAAATTTAAGTGGATAAGGATAACGGGTTGATATATGAATATGTGCACATTGTTTGAATCCTCCGGCAATGGAGTAGATAAGTTTCTTAAAGTGGTGTTAGGTTTGATTTCAGAATAACTACAAGATCTGAAAAAGGTTTAATACATAAATTGGCTTCTACATTATACCTAAATTTTTGTTTTAGTTCTTAAGGATTCTTCTTTTTTTTAATCAGAAGTGAACTTTTAATTTTTTTCCGTTATTAATTTTGATTATTTTAACTGGCGCCGGTAAAAAATATTTTGGTTATTTCAATGGTCAAATGAATAATATCACAATCAATTTAGAAATAAACTAAATAGTTTACATGTTATTTTTTTTAATATTTGGGACAAATATAAAGTAATGTTTGTTCAAAACTCTCAATCATTGATAATGTATTCGTGTACTCTTGTCAGTGCTTTAACCCGTGCCTTTTAGAAAGAATAACGAGTCATTTAACCTGAGGTTAATTAATCCCATACTGTTGTTGATTTTTTGCAGGTTGCTAAGTTTGTTGTGCAGACTCGTCTAAAGGGCAGGAGCATAAATAGAGTTGATAGGGTAAATGCTAGGCTATGTAGCAATTGGGGTATTTTATAGTTGTGTGTGGTTTGTAGTGAGAGTGTTAAAATTAATCTATTACCGTTAATCGTAACTATTAATCGATGTAATTGTTATATTTTATAAGTTAATTAATTGAACTGTTAAAGTTTAATGGTCGTTAATCATCGGTTAACAGTTAATAAATTATAATTAATTAATTATATTTTTTAGAAAATATAATTAGAAATAAAATCAAAATGATCACTTTTATCTCATATAGGAGCACATTAAATCAAGCATATATGAAAAAAATATATATGATTTTAAATAATAAAATATAAATATACAAGTAAGATTTTAAATTGTAAAAAAAATGTATACATCTCATAATATATATATATTTCTATAAAATACATTTACAAATAAATAAGATTTTTACAAATATATATGTTTCTATCATCGTAAATTTTATGAAATTTTAAAAATTTTAAGTTGTGTTATGTTTGAAGAATATTGTAATAGTTTAACCACTGGTTATCCTATAACCGAATGCTAACTGTTAACCGTTTTTTATTGATTAGGTTATGGTTAACAAAATTTAATAACTGTTATAACGGTTACTGATCGTTTAGACTTAATGATACGATTAACCGACCATCAACACCTCTAGTTTATAGTTTTTTTTGGTTTGTTGTTGCTTGTTCTATGTAGCAGACGACTGTTTTCTTTGGGTAATACATGAAATTTATTTTTTTTTAAAATACAATAAAGTTGTTGATCTGAATGAGAGTCAAATTTGGAAATAAAATTTTGATATTTTAAGAACCTCATTTTAATGTGAAAATCGAATAAAAAAAAGTCAAAGCATGATGGTTGATGTATTCTAAAACTCATTAGAATATGAGCTTTTAATGCATATATGTATTTTATATTTCCTTAGTTGGAATTAGGGTTGAAGGTAGGATATTATATTAAGAGGTAAACTTTTTAAAATTTAAGGAGGAGACAAATTTATAAAATTGTAAGAATGAAAAAAATAAATTATCAACTGAAAATACAAAAAAAATATTTAAAAAATATTTTAATTTAACATTTTAGGAAGCGACCAACCATCTTCCTTTGATCTATCAATATGAATTTTTTCTTTAGTACCGAAACATAGTGGTATTAATGTGTTTTAATAGAATGTTTGGAGTTTATTATTATTATAATTTAAATATATATCTATACTATATAAACATAAATATAGTTATATCAGAATATAGATCTCAAAATTATTATAATTAATAATTTATCTAAATGATCATATTTTATTTAGGAATTTCATGTCATCGGCGGAGACAGCGGAACTACTAGCCCAAGAGGATGGAGCTGCAGGCGAAAGGGTTCATGCGGACCTATGTTGAGATTATAGGTTTGATCATAATTCTTCTTTACATTAAAAAAAATTTACACGATTTTATGCAAGCCAATATTAACCAAAAAATTTTAAAATACATTGAAATTTTGATCGAAACAATACTTAAATTATTTAGTATCGGTTTAAGACCGATATGATTGATAATTTTACGGTACTAACTATTATGATTTTTTAAAGTAATTATTAATCAATTAATCTAGATCAAATTTTGTATATGTCTATTATAAAGACTATCCTTTCAAACCAGTTTATTACATTCGTAAACATCAAGATTCAGACTTTTGATTGTACTTAAGAAATTTAATATCTCATTCCACTAGAATTTGTAAAAACAAAAGATAGAATTTAATTCATCTAATTTCAAATAAGTATAAATTTAAATTTGATCATATTCGACTTGTTCCATTTATATATATAGTACTTATAAATTAAATTGTCTGCCGTGAAACTTTTTCCGGCAAACCCAAGACGGTCATAGAAATGTCCAAGTGGGTCTTGATTGTACTTGTCCCTGTTGTACATATAAAATTGCCCACCCCACTACTACCTGCTGTAAATGAAAAGCCAACAAGTCCCAACATGAAGACACCCTCTCAGATTTTCTTGTCCAACAATAACAGCATACTAAATTGGCCCTAAAGATACCGTTCTATCTTATTATCTCCATTATTGCCCATTCTCTGGGCCCCCACGCCAACCAATAAACGTCTAAAGCCTAACCAAATCCAAACTAAACCTACAATCACTTCTATTCCATAAACATACATATCTTTCATTTTAACATTCAACAAATCAATCACTTCCAACAGAATACTACAATCTTTTCTTAGTAGCTGCCCCCCCCCCTCCTTTTCATATGTCTTTGGCTTGACATGAAAAGCATTAAAAACACCAATTATGGTGAGGAAATATCATTCAACTACTACTTGCAATTTTTTTAAGAAGAGAAAGCAAACTCTGTAAATCAGCTTGTCAAAGCTTATGATTATGGGTTAGTATTTGATATGATGACAATCTCATTAAAAAAAACTTGAAAATATGCATAGAATTAAACTTTTTAATAGTTAAATAAAGGCATAATGATAAAAAAAATCAACGTTCGATTAAATAATCACTTTGATCCTTATTTTTTTTAGAAGCATTTCATTTTGGGACAATAAGGTCTCTTAGTGGATGAAAATTGTAAATCAATAAGGATTAAAGTGACAATTTAATCAAATTTTATGGGCCTTTTTGCCCTAAAATAAAACATTGGAGCTAAAATGTTCAGAAAAATATGGACTAAAATGATTATTTAATTAAAAATCAGGGATATTTTTTGACATTATGCCCTAAATAAATGCATTTATGTTTAACGCACTAACATAGTATAAATAAGTGAAGTATGTGATAACAAATGAAATTAAACCTTAAAAGATTTAGTTTATCAAATTTGTTTTAAAGGGTTTTTAAAGAAATGTAAGCGTGTGGCTTACTGTAAATTTATAAATCTATATAGTTCCATTATATCTTATACAAACCATAATTGATATTTTTAACATCTAGAATCATATTTTTTTATTAGAATCGCATTTGCATAATTCACAATATGTGTATAGAGTATGCACTAACCTGGCTTCTGGGAAGCAGTACGTTGAAAGATTATATGATGAATTTGACCATGAATGCTAGCACTTGTTGGATATGCCAAACCCTGACTTTCTTACCTGACTCCAGGAATCCAGTAAGTGCATTCTCATTGCAGAAAGATGACAGTAGCGAATCCTATAACTTTGATCAATGGCAACGATGAAGACGACGAGCATTGTCCCCCTGGAAAAGCACCAAGAATTGCAGGCAATGTGGGGTCTTTGTCATTAATTGAAATGGGAAAATAAAATCCTCAAATTATGGTCCTTCCACTATGCTCAAATTGGGGATAACCCATGTATGTGATCCTCCACTTTTATAATGTTATTTGTTAGTTCAAATAGTTGACTCCTAAAACAAAAATAAATAAATAAATAAAAACATAGACACTGAATGTAAGTAAATTTGAGCATATTAAAGGGACCAAGACTATAATTGACCATATAAAGTGAAAAAGCCAACCATCAAATAGCAAACCTCATTCTCTCCTATCTCCATTTAATATATTTCACCTCCCAGTTTAAACTAACTCTTGAAAACTATATCAAGTTTTGTAAATCCCTTTGTATTCTTGAACTTCAGAGAAAAAAATGGTTTTCCAAAGAGAAGCAGCAGCTGAAACCGAAAGTAGATCAACAACACAACAAGGCGAGCTAAGGGTTAATGAAGATAGCAATAATGAAGCAATTGAAGAAGAGAATCCAGGAGAGTGGTTGAACCTAACACTCGGTGGGAACTTAATACCAGCACCTGGAGACTCTGAGTCTGCCTTGGACCCGCCGTTAAGACGAGTTCCTTCCAAGGTTTTCTCTTGCAACTTTTGCAAGAGGAAGTTTTACAGTTCACAAGCTTTGGGTGGCCACCAAAACGCCCACAAGCGGGAGCGAGGTGCAGCCAGAAGATATCATTCCCAGAGAATGATGGCGATGATGAGCTTGCCGACGAGCAGTCAAATGGTTCGATCACTTGACGTTCAACCGCATTCGCTTGTGCACAAATCAACCAGAGATGCAGCTACTGCAAGTGTAGCGAGATTTATTGATACTTACTCAGTGCAGTTCACAGTTGATGATGGAACGGACTTCATGTGGCCAGGCAGTTTCCGTTTGGATCCTCGACCACCCGAACCGCTGTCAGAACCATCCAAGCTTGACTTGAATCTTCGGCTCTAATCCATCTATCTACTCTTGTCCAAGTTTAAAAATCTCTTAAAACTTCAGATGATTGTTAGGCAAAACTTTTGAGACTAATTGTATTTTACTGTAAGTATATGTATATATTCCAATTTGAAAACTAACAAACTGATTGGAATCAACGTAATTCGATCAAATCACCTTAGGCTCTTTTTGGATCACACTTTCCCGCGGTGAGATGGAATCTTAGGAGCCTTTTGCTCTTCATCTCACCACAGCCTCATTAGTGAAGTTGTTTGGCACTCTCCCATCATGGAGTAAACTTGCCTCGCTACAATTTTTAACCAGAGTTGAAGGCCTCCAGTGAACACATACTGCATACCCAGAGAATTGGTAATTTCTATTTCACTCTCTTCTACGTTTAAGAAAATATATATTATTTAGTAATATAAATAGACTTTTAATTATTATTCAATATAAAATAATTTTAATATATTTTATTAATCAACGTGAATATCATTTAAATAATTAATTATTCAAGTTTAATCACCTATGAATTTGTATCTACAATACTTATGCTTTATCTAAAAAATTAAAAAGTTGAATTTTTAGAGAAACAGTTTCTGTCTAAATAATTATGATTACGATTTATCTAAAAATTTATAGATTATACTTCTGAGAAAAGAAAAAGATAACCAAAAGCCAATCCAGTTAACCCTTCTCATCCTGAGTCTGTTAAATAAAATAACCAACTGAAGTACTGAACTACATCGATTTGGCTATTTCAGTTTTCATACTATGAAAAACTGCTTATGAAACAGAGCAAGCGATGTCAGAGTCATAATTCCTATGCTGCAGCATTGAAGTACCATCCACATCTAAATTTGTCATCGAAAGCGTGCTGAGGAAACAGTACCACTACAGTAAAACATAAATCAATCTCATTTTCCCAAAATCCATCTGTTTCTTCCATTATATCATATCCTCCTTATCCATAATTTATAAGCCAAAATTAATAAATATATAAAAAATACGACAAAAAAAAATTGGGTGTACTAACATTGACCCTATTTGATTGTAAGTCGCCAAAAAGGACAAGACATGATAAAGAACGTTGACAGTAAGTTAGCCAAAGAAACCACAGTTCCTAATCATCAGCAGAAATAATTATTTCACCTATCAGTCTCTTATATCTTATTGGTAATTTTCCTCTTATACTACACATCTGGCAGCATTTGATTTGAGATCTTTGCATGAGTTCCAGGTCTATCAGAGTCCAAGTATAAATTTCGAAGAGTTTGCTGAATACAATTTTTTTGCAGAGGCAGTGGAAGATTTCCTCATCACTTAAAAGGAGCTCGGCAGTATAGCTCTTACACCAACAAAATGAATATTAAGGTGATCGTCATCCAATGTGGGCTAGTTTATATCTATTCCACCTAAGTTTAGCAACAAACCAAAGCTCTTCCCTGAATTCCTATTCTAGTTCATTATATTTACTCTAAAACCACTACTTTGTTCTACTTTAAACATACCCCATTGCTTATCGACCAACTTTTTCGCTTTTAGCATTCCCCAGTTAGTATATACAAAGCCAATTTATCCATGAAGTAAAGAAATGACCATCCAGCTCAGTTGGTAGAGCACAAGGTTCTAAACCTTGAGGTCGTGGGATCAAGTCCCACGGAGGGCATTTCATAATTTGGAGGTCTCCTACGGAAGCTGCTCTCAACCTGGTGTTGGGGGCAGTCTACTATCTTACCTCCCCCTTACCCCATACATATGGGAAAAAAGGGACAGCCATTTTTTTAAATTCCAATGGTACAAGTTGAGGTATGTTTAGCATCGCACCTGAAGTGATGAGCTACTGAACTAATGTTCCAATCTGATCACCATTTCTGAAAGCTCCTTTGTGTAATTTCTATTCTGTCTTTGCATTTATCATGGTTAATGTTGGGAAAGATGAAACTGCGGCACCTTAAATCAACATTAGACATAGAATTCTTACATTTGTTTATATCCAAAGTCGCATAAAAAATTAGCTAAAGGTACATGAAATGCTTGTAACATTGATTTTTTGCTTAAAGAATCAACCAGCAATGACCAAATCATACAAATAAATTGAATTTGTTGAGCAAGGCAATTTACAGTCTACAAGTTACTGGATAATATATGCCTTTGGATCCGATGCATGATGACGGGAAGCCTCTGGCTGATGATCTTGGATCACAATATGAAGAAGAATCAGTAGGATAACCTTTCTGCACCATAGCTAGAATAGCATCAAGAAGCAAAACATCAATGTCACATTATCAAACAAGAAAACCTACTTTTGTTCATTATGCTTCTAAATAAGGTTCCATGTGCCGAATTCAGAGGAATTCCTTTAAAGAAAAATGGCAAGCTGAAATCATGTATCTAATAACTTATCAATTCCATGAGTTGTAGCTATCAAGGCTATACTGAAATTTGAAAAACAAGACATGATTTTTTTTAAAATGCATTCACACTGCTTCTCCTGGATTTCAAGTTCAACAGAATATAACATAGTGTTCTGCATTGAAATAAAGTTCAACTTGAGCTTAATTTTTTTGGCGTACCTTTTTATCCCCAATCACACCAAAAAAAGGGAAGAGCTACTTGAAATAGTACATTTTAAAGTTTTCTAACCTCCCATGGCATAAAGCCCATTAAACGAATTCTCATTTGGCAAGGGTCTCAAGAAATGAAGAAAAACTACTTAAAGTTGCAGCAACAAGGAAATAAGTTTATAACTTGAAACTTAGAAGGAAATTAACAACTATCACGGATAACGATCCCAAGTAAATATATTGAAATAAAAATATGTGAATAAGGCATAGGCACAAGCAAAGAACCAGACAGAAAGCAATCGTATACTTACAGAAGACAAAAACTTGAAATGTGTCTTCATTCCAACATCTTTCTCGAAGACTGACAGGATTTGCACTCTCATCAGAAACACAAAGCATGCGCGGGCCCCTTAATCTCATTAGCACTCCATCAACCCAAAACTATTAGAAAAACTAAGTGGCTGAAAGGGAAATCAATTCAGGAAAACAGAAAGTGCAGCGGCTTATGTATTAAGAGTTTATCAAGCAGCCAGATGAACCAAAGTTTAGTATTTCTTCCAGGATAAGGAAGAAAAAAAATAGAAGAGATGGTTAAGAATGTCAACCACATAGATTTTCTTAATCAAAAGCATTTTGATCATCACCCACTTACCCAAAATCATAAGAGAAGAACCAAGAACTTGGAATGACTCTGTAGATGAAAGAAATAATGAAATCAGTTGTCTTCCATTCTAATATTTTTAAGATTACAAGCCAATGTGAAAAACAAAACTTGTCTAAGTTCAACATTTAACACTTTAACAGTAAGAAGTGAGTTAGTGACACCCCATTATCAGACAATTCATCTTCATATAAAACTACCTGCATAGCAAACATCGATACTTTCTCTAACGGCAAACTTAAGAGTTGAGAATGTTGATTGTGGAGAAAAGAAAAACAAATACAATGTGTCACCTTCCATGCCATGTTTATAGTTTAAGACGCTGATCTCATCATAGAAAAGAATAGGTTCTTTTCGTATGAGCACAGTGACATCAAGCCGTTCTTCGCGATTCTCCAAATGGAGGCTAAATTACATAACTGACACCGTTTGCTTTAAATTTTCCCTTTCTGACACCGTTTTATCAATATTTCCAGAAGTAGCACCATTTCTGCTGAGTTGGCAAAGGCGCGTCCCCGGGGACACGCTTTACCCGTGTTTTCGCTGAGTTGGATGCCACGTGTGGAAGGCGCGTCCCCGGGGACGCGCCTTTGCCAACTCAACAGACACGTATTTTGTTTTATAATAAATAGTTTATTTTTATTATTATTATAAATTAATAATATATTATGTAAAATGTTTCGATTATAATGTAAGAATTATCAAATGTATTTTGTTAATATGTGTTAAAGGTGGAGTGAATTATCTACATTAATATGATATAACAATATATGAAAACCAGTTTTGACTTTATTGTAGTTATAGGAAAAATGTATGAAATTATAATATTACACATATGGTTATATTATTATTTTTGATTTTGATTATCGATCTATTAATTTTATCAGTTAATTATTTAAATGTTATCAATCTAGTCATCTCATATCAATACTATAATTTATATTTTAAATTTAAATTTGAATAATATTATTTTTATTTTTATTTTAAATTTCGAATAATATAATTTGTATTTTAAAAACATTTATCAAACATTTAATGTTAAATGTGAATAAAAAATAACATTAAAAAATATGTATGTAACAACCATGAAACATTTAAATAACATAACCAAATTACATAAAATTCTGAAATATAATTATTTAAATAACATTAAATATAACTGGATCACCGATGTCGTCTTCTCGAATGAGTTCCACATGGCGGTGGTTGTCTATTTCGTGGAGGATTTCTTCGTGGAACTTGTTCTTCAGTCTCCTCATCTTCACTATCATCATCAGCAGCATTTTCTTCATTTGGTGTAGATGACGCTGAAGGGGCTGAAGGGCCTGTATAAAATAACGACCCTGGAGGAGTGCTAGTAACAATCCCACCGCTCCCCGGGAACTGTGAGAACTGTGGAAACATTGGCATCGATGTATGTGATCCAGATGGAGATTGAGGTGTCTGCGGAGAAGCACCACCAGCCAAATAAGATGCATATGAACCATATGCTGGATCATTAAACATATTCGTATATGCACCTCCATATGGTATAAAACCCTGCGGGCTAGGCATGTAACCTGGCGGGCTAGGCATGTAACCTGGCGGGCTAGGAATGTAACCCTGCGGGCTCGAAATATAACCCTGCGGAGATGGCATATAAACTGGTGGGCTTGGCATATGAAGTGGAGGGCTGGGCATGTACCCCTGCGGCATCGACGAATAAGGATGTTGTGGTGGGACTGATGCAGAACCGGTAGCGCCTTCTCTCCGTCCACGCGTCGGGGGACGATGATATTGAGACGGTTGACGTCTTTCTTGGCGCCTAGGAATGTTAACCCCTCGTGCTTCTGCCGAAAGTAGAAACGACTTCCCATTTT